AAAATGTTTGTGTGTGTGTGTGTGTGTGTGTGTGTGTGTGTGTGTGTGCATACACATGTGCATTCAACAGCATGCCTATGGAGGTCTTTCCTTCTACCACGTGTTAGTCCCAGGGATCAAAGAGGTTGTTAGGTTGGGCAGCAAGTGCCGTCACACACCGAGCCTCTCACCAGCCCAATAATATTTTCTTGATAAGAATAAACCAGGGGCCTGCCAACAACGGGGCAGGTGTGGCTGGAGAGCAGACTCTTTTGTTCTTTAGCACTGTGAATGTTATCCCATACTCTTAAACTTTATGTGATAATTCCTTAAAATCTTATCATTTGCCATCGAAAAGCCCTCTTGGTCTCGTTAGTCTATCTTTTTAGTTAAGGACTCACATCTCTTTTCATGTTTGGGGCTTGTTTCTTCTTGTTTCAGAAGGACACAGCGGTTCCCAGCCAGGGCAGAATTCAGGAAGTTGTGATCAAATCTGACGTAATTAAGATTAGGAGATCTTTCTTTGGAAATATCCTTTCTCTTGATGCCTGAATTCAACTGCCAGAGTTTAAATGGTATAGTTAGAAAAAATCATTACCTCAACCTGCTAGAAAATTTACCAGGAGTGGGCATTGGAGTTGGTTTTAAATTTCTCCTTTGATCCATTAAAGTCTCTTGGCATTAGAAAAGTATTTCATTCATGAATTCCAAGGAAAGGCTGGGCAAGTATAAACCATTAAAGATGGATTTTAGGCAAAAGACAGGTGCAAGATTTGCAGGAGTGGGTAGCACCCTCTGGTGGACAGTTTTGCAATCAGCATGCTCTCTGGGTGCATAGGAACAAGCTGGAGAGACAGAATCCTCTTCCAGAATCCTTGCCCAGCATTGTTTTTACTGTGGCTTTCCGGTGGCAGCAAGCAAGAAGCCATACTCTAGTGGGTACAGAATATAGACTCAATTCGGGGGAGGGGGTTGTGTGAACTATTATTTTTCTGCTTATTCCAAATATGAACGCTCGAAGAGTAGGGGGATCAGAAGAGTCCCTTTCTTACTGTGGTGACGTGTGAGGTAAGCAGCACCAAATGGTGGATACAAGGAAAACTGCAGCTAACACATGCTGTGGGGTGTTCTGTATGTTAAATGTGTTGCTCTGATTGGTTAATAAATAAAACACTGATTGGCCAGTAGCCAGGCAGGAAGTATAGGCAGGACAAGGAGAGAAGAGAATTCTGGGAAGTGGAAGGCTGAGGCAGAGAGATGCTACCAGCCGTCATGAGAAGATGTTAAGATACCGGTAATCCACAAGCCATGTGACAACTTATAGATTAATAGAAATGGGTTGATTTAAGATATAAGAACTAGGTAACAAGAAGCCTGCCACGGCCATACAGTTTGTAAGCAATATAAGTCTCTGTGTGTTTACTTGGTTGGGTCTAAGCAGCTGCAGGACTTGGGGGGTGAGAGAGATTTGTCCTGACCATGGGCCAGGCAGGAAAACTCTAGCTACAAACACAGGTAGAATTTTCTCCTCCTCAGGTTTCAGGAACAATAAGGGGGAAATACATATTGATTTTTTTTTCTTTTTGAGTCAAGATTGCACCATGTAGCCCAGACTAGCTTCAGTATCTGGATTCTAAATTTCTATATCTTGAATATTAGGATTACAGACATGCACACCACATACAACTCTTAGAATTTACTTCTTAATAAAAAGTAGGTGTATATTGAGAAGGCCAAAGGGAGATGCTGTGGATATCTCTATATATAAATAAAACACTGATGGCCAGTGACCAGACAGGAAGTATAGGCGGGACAAGGACAGAGGAGAATTGGGAAAACAGGAAGAAGGGGAGAGACACTGCAGCCATGGCCAGGACAAGCAGCATGTAAAGACGCCGGTAAGCCACCAGCCACGTGGCAAGGTCTAGATTTATAAAAATGGGTTAATTTAAGATATAAGAACAGTTAGCAAGAAGCCTGCCATGGCCATACAGTTTATAAGTAATATAAGCATCTGAGTGATTATTTTATACGTGGATTGTGGGACTGCGGGGCTTGGTGGAACCTGGAGAGAAGCTCTCCAGCAACAGGGAGACTGCATTCATATAAGTCTGGCTAAATTTAAAAATGGGGTTAACCATGAAATTGATGTTGTTCCTGTACTATAACCCACGTCTCACACATAATTAGGACATTGAGTTATCAGTCTACTTGTAGTGAAGTACACATTATAAATATGATCCAAAGGAAGTTCAAGAGAAGTGCTCAAATTAGCTTTTTTTAAAAAATTTATTTATTTATTATGTATCTAGTGTTCTACCTACATGTATACCTGCAGGCCAGAAGAGGACACCAGATCTCATTATAGATGGCTCTGAACCACCTCGTGGTTGCTGGGAATTGAACTCAGGAACTCTGGAAGAGCAGTCAGTGCTCTTAACCTCTGAGCCATCTCTCCAGCCCTCAAATTAGCTTTTTTAAATAGTTAAAAAAAAAAAAAAGCCAGGCACAGTGGCTCATGCCTTAATCCCGGTACTTAGGAGACAGTGACAGTAAGATTGCCACAAGTTTAAGGTCAGCTTGGTCTACACAGCAGCTCTAGGTCAGCAGGGCCTAGAGACATAGTGAGATCTATCTCAAAAAACAAAAACAACAAAAAAAAAAAAAAAAAAAAAAAACAACCCTCAATCAAAACAAAAAGCATGCCCAAACAGTAAAAATACATGCACGTCAAAACTTTCTTTCCAGGCCTGGAGAGGCGGCGGCGGCGACGGCGCACGTCTTTAATCCCAGCACTTGGGAGACAGAGGCAGGCGGATCTCTGTGAGTTCGAGGCCAGCCTGGTCTACAAAGTGAGTTCCAGGAAAGGTGCAAAGCTACACAGAGAAACCCTGTCTCGAAAAACCAAACACTTTTTTTCCACTTTGAATTTTTGGTTTTTTTTTTTTGAGACAGGTTTTCTCTGTGTAGCCCTGGTTGTCCTGGAACTCACTCTGTAGACCAGGCTGGCCTCGAACTCAGAGATTTGGCTTCCCCTGAGTGCTGGGACTAAAGGTGTGCACCACCACTCAATCTTTGGCAACTCTTTATAATTTCAATTGCAATACTTCTGTCAGTGTGTGTGTGTGTGTGTGTGTGTGTGTGTGTGTGTGTGTGTGTGTGTGAATTAGCTGTGTGTCTTAGTCACTGCCCTATAGCTGTAAAGAGACACCATGACCAAGACAGCTCTTATGAAAGAAAGCGTTTAATTGGGGCTGGCTTCCAGTTTCAGAGGTTTGGCTCCTTATCATCATGGCAGCAGGCATGGCAGACATGGTGCTGGAGAAGCAACTGAGCACTACATCCTGATCCACAGGCTGAGAGGAGGAAAGCACTGGGCTGAGCGTGAAGTTTTCAAACGCCCTCTTCCAGTGACACACTTCTTCCAATAAGACCACACCTTTTAATCCTTCTTATCAAAGAACCCCATTCCCGGCAACTAAGCATTCAAATGTATGAACCCATGGGAGCCATTCTTATTCAAACCACCCCAGTGTGAGTGTGCTTCAAACCTGAAAATGTGACTATTCATAGACACTTCCCACCCTGGGGAAAATACTCGTGTGTGGCTCATTTTGAATTGGTTTCAAATGAAATAATTAAAGTTTATAGAGAGCTAAAGTCCATGCTGGTACTAGAAAACTTTAATTGTATTCCCTCTGCGTATCTGACTAACACTGTCTATCAGATCTTAACTCGGAGTACAGGCCAATCCCCAATTGCTAGATTCCAAATATAGTTGTTAGCAAGTTGCCACTTATAACAGTTGCTATAGAGTCGGTCACATGGGATATACTTGTCATTTTTAATCTTCATTATCAACTTGACTGGATTTAGAATTACCATGGAAACACATCTCTGACTGAGTGGTTGAGGTGGTTTTCCAGAAGAGTTTAACTGAGGTGAGAATATGGACAGCACCATCGTATACAGTGGGTCGTTGACTCAAACCACGAGAAAACAAATTCGGTAGTTTTCATTTCTCTACACTGACTGCAGATACAGTGCGGCTAGCGCTTTGTTCCCAAGCCGTGCCGACTGCGCAGGCTGTATCCCTGTAACTGGAAGCCCAAATGAACCTTGCTCTCTCATGTTGCTGCCTGCCGATATTTGGTCACAGCAACAAATAAATTATTAATACACTCAGAAATTGTTTTTTGATCGTCACAATTAGGGTGGGTGGTGTTACCGACACCCACTGTAGACAGTACATGAATACTACTAAACGTTTTATATTCTCCAGGCAAACAATTATTTGCTCCAAAATATAAATAAGCTGAGAAACAGGAAACTAGAAGGCCATCGACTTTCAGCGTTCCTGGGAGACAGGCAGTGCAAGGAATTGTCTTAAGTTCATCTTCAGTTTGGGGAGGACGGCATCAGGGCCTGGAGACGGGATCCAAGAGCCCAGAGCTCCCACTGCCGCGGACCAAGTCCCGAGGTCAAGAAGGTGGGGAGTGTGGCTATTCCTGCGCATGGGCTGCACCGCACCGGGCGGCTAGGCGCGCCTCGGGCAGACACACTTCTTCCTCCACTTCAGACTACACCGAGCGTCTGGCTGCCGCAGCTTTGCAGCCCACCGGAAGCCGCCGGAAGCAGCCGAGGCGTCCTTCTCTCCTAGCAACGCCCGGGGGAGGAAGTGGCTGCGGAGCCACGCCCCCCTGCGCCTGCGCACAGGCGCGGCCTGCTGACGTGGACGGGGCCGCTCCGGCCGAGCCCAGCGCGGAGAAGAGCGGCGAGCGAGGCGG